AGCGAAAATAGTGTTAAGCAAAGTGTATCTATTGTTATGTTTATTTTCAAAAGACTTGTTTAGTATTAATTATCTTATCGTTTTATATTCATATATAAATTATGCTTATATAAATTTATATATAATAGCTTTTAATGTGCGTCAGTACGCACTAGGGCATCTAATTAAATTTATAAATTAAAAAATTACTTAAATATAATTAATAATTAATTAATAATTAATTATAAAAAGCTGTATGAATTAAAAGCATAATTTGATATTGCTTAAAATGCTTGATAATTTTGTTTAAAAATAAGAAAAAAATAAAAGCAATTTATTGTAAATATTTTCTATATGTTATATATTTAAAAAATAGGGAAAAATTGTTAAGAAAATTAATTTAAGGAAATTTATATTATGTTACATGCGCATATATACATAAAAATATTTCAATAATAACTTATTATCGCTGTCCGTAGTATATACTAGAATAGCAAAACATCACGCGCAATTAATAAGACATTAATAAATCCATAATATTTCTCCGCAATTTTGATCCACAATTATGGATCATCTAGCACGTACATGTACCGACCGGTTGTTTTACCGTGGCACCGAAAAATGATTTTAGCCATGTAATTACGCCGGTTCTAAAATGGATCTAGTTGGCGCTACTGCATCAGCTAGAAAAAGCATCTTTTGAAAAACGGCAGCGTGACCCCTCTCAGGCTTATCTCCGATAAGGTTTATTATTAGCGTTTTGTGAAAAATATTGGAAAGGTCGCACTTGGGTTTTTTTCAAATTTAATAATATTTTAATTTCTGAACTAGTTTGGATGAAAACGTATTAATTACAATCATGTTGTATAGATAATATTGTACTGACAGATGATTTATATGTTAATTTATTAATTTGACACGTAAAAAGATAGATAGAATTACACTGAATTCTTGAAGAAGAGACGTGTGATTTATACATTTATCTAGTGTATCATAATTTATTAATTATGGAAGAAGTCCTTCAACAGTTGGGAGTTGGTATTCGACCTGTGAACGATCCCTTCTTCGATGATTCCTATAAAGTCTGCAAAGTATTTCAAAGGAAAGGCATCACAATTGATGACGAGGAGGAATTATGTCACGAAGTGTGAGTGTGGGGTGATGCTTCTTTGAAAATATGTTGACATGAGGAATTTTTTTTTCCTACAAATACTTTAAAAAATATTGCATATGAAACTTCTCTCTTTTCAAAGAACTACTATAAAGTAATAAAGATTCTCAGAAAATATCTCAAAATTATTTAAATGCAATTTTTTTAAATAGAGGTAGTGATTGCATATGTTTGTATATTTATATTATATATGTGTGATTCAAAATAAAAAAAACTAAAGTCAATATTTTATTTCAGGATCAGAGAGTTCCCATGTTATGTCCCAGGATGCAAGGCTACTTTCCAAACATTGTTTGATTATGAGATACATTATAATAGTTCTCATCGATATACTTGTACAGAATGTAAAGCATCTAGACCAAGTCCACGACTGTTGGAAATTCATATTCAAGAGACGCATGATGCCTTCTTTAAGATTTTATCCGAGAAGCAAGCCATGGTATTTATATTTATCTTTCAATTTTAAATAAATGTAACAGTTTTATTATATAAATGTATTTTTAATGCAAATTTTCTTTTTTAGTATCAATGTTATGATTCTGAATGTAACATAAAATTTAATGATCCAATGGAAAGGAGGCAACATTGCATAAAAGTACATAAATTTCCAAAAAGATATCGATTTGACAACATACAACATTTTACCAAGGAAGATGAATCAAAAAGAATGGAAATTGATGATGTTGACGATAAAAGTAAAAAAAAAGCTACTAAAGTATTATTGAAAAATCAGAAAAGCAAAATGTTCTCAAAAAGTGCTACCAGTGTAGTTTGTGGAAATACTGCTACTTTAGAAACAATTCCAACAACTAATGTCAAAACTAAAATAACAACACCATTAGTTTTTGTTCCTACACAAGTACAAAGATCGTTTTCGAAGGTACTTACAGGTAATCAAAATAGAGAAAAGAATGTTCTTGAGTCAGAAGTTATAACAGAACTTGCAGATTCGTTGCCTGACTGATATTTTATGTACAATATTTGTTTAAGTTTAATTTCACTGACAAATTATTTTGAAATACTTGTGTAATACTTTTCTAGAAATGTCTAACTTTTATTGAGATAAATAAATGTTGTCTTATTTATTGACCAAAAAAGTATACATTATAAGAGAGTCTATATATCATATAAATATATTTTCATACATAACAATAATCTTATATATATATATATATTATATGCACTAACACTATATATATGCTCTACATATATACTGATATCATATTTGGTCATTTCAGATCATTGTTATTATCACACATATTTAAACAACTTATTAACGTTTATAAGTTGACGTTTATAAGTGCCCTAAGTTGACTTATATCCATGCCCATTTGTCGCAACAAACAGTATAATCCTGCCAATTCACTTTTCAACTTTACGTTTTCTTCTTCAAGAAAAGTTGCCCAAATAGCAAGCTCGTCCTCCTTTTTCCTTCGAAGATCTCTGGAACGTTTTGCTGCTTCGTTGTTTTTCTTCCTTTTCTCGTAATAAGCAGGGTCCTTTTCGTCAGCAGTGCTAGTAGGCAATGCTGGACTCCTGGATGTTCGACGCATTTTCGGATTCGGTGCGTTCTCCTGCATTTTTTTATAGTCAAGCATCTTTTCCCGATATTCCAAGTAATCGCGGCTCAAATATTGGAACACAGGATTGATCTGTCTCTTTAAAATGGGGAAGGGATTCTTCGAATATACTTTGAAAGGTCTTGCTGTCTTCTTTACCGCAGTCAACGATGGTGTTGACATTTCGGCTTGGGTCGACGACTCATTTAAGAAACTTAGCGCGGTCGTTTCGGTAGTTTTATCGTTTGTCTGTAATGATGATGTTTCTCTCTCTGTATAAGGTGGAGATGTTGATGCAGTCGTTGACGTTGCTACTGAATTATTTATGGCCCCGCTGTTTAGGTGCAAAGGTACTAACGGACGCAGAAATGGAACTTCCATTGTTACGCCCGAAGGTGGTGCAAACAGCGGTATACTGTTCTTAATTGCGTTGCCACCGTTGTAAAAGAACGGTTCACACTTCTCGGTCGTTTCTTTCGGAAAATCCAACTCAGAGGATGATGACAACATGATAGTGCTCGCAAAAGGACTCTGTTTCTTCGTATCCGATAGACTTGAGTGTTGATATTGCTTGTCCGTATGTGCAGGCAAGCTCTGAGACAAACAGGCCGTCGTATTTGTGCCTTTGATTGTTGTAGGTGTCACGGGATTTTTGCATGATAAGTCTAGAACCGGATAATTTAGAAATTCAGATTCTCCCTCCGACACTGAGTCCTGCTTTGAGCAACAAGATAAACTCCAAGTCTGATGATCGTTCCTTTGTTCCATAGTTTGTAATGTTCTGTATTGTTATTGGTGATTATCTGCAATTAAATAAAATTTATATTATTAATATTTAATTATATAAAATTATATTAAATTTAATAATTAATTATTAATATTTTACGTTGCAAATGAGAAAATTATTAAAAATTTAAAAGTGCGTGCAAAAAAACACTTAAAAAATTTTATACTGTTTTTTGTAACATTTTGTTATGAGTAAAGTTGTAAAGCTTATATCAAGTTCATTTTGACGAAATTTTAATTAATTCCAAGATATTTTAAATTCTGATCATACCATATCGCACACATAATGTCAACTTTTATCAGGTCTAACAATATTTTATAAAATTTTCATTTTTTTAAGAGAAAAATAATAAATATTTTATTTAATTAACATTTTATACTTTTAATATTTTTTAAATATTTGTTAAATATTAATATTAATAT